AAGAGCACATATTAATGATACATTTTTGTAATAAATTTATATAAGAAAATATAAAAGTAAACATTAATTTTAGTGTCATTGTTACATAAATAATTTTAATTAGACAGTTGATAAATTAAATATTACTTTTTATTTTTTTAAAACTTTTAATTGGTACCCTAAAATACAAATTAAAATAACCCTTAAGATACAAATTAGAATAACCCTCTGTTTATTTATTTTTTTATCATCCTAATGAGACTAGTGGGACCAATTTCTTTATTATTAATTTTTTTATCCACCTAATGAGACTAATGGAACCAATTTCTTTATTTTTTTTGGTTCTATATTATTCTTTTTGGTTTTAGCACCTAAATTAACAAAATCTGTTAATTCTCTGTTAAAATTGAAATAAAATAATTATAGGATTAATCATTTAAAATTAAAAATGTAACAATTTAATTCTAAAAGTTCAAAAATTATAAAAATTAGTAAACTAAAAAGAATTAATAGATTACTTTTTCATATATACTAAAATGGTATTAGATATTTATAATCAAATCGAGCGATTAGCTTAATTTGGAGAAAGAATTTTGACTGAAATTAAGAAAAATTTCTTAATTGAATTAAGATAGAAAATTTAAGAGACCAGAAAAATATAGCCAAGAAAATTTTTTTAATCTTGATTAGATTTCTTTAGTTAGATTGAGTTAATTACTCGATCTAATTATAGATATCTAACATTGTTCTCATATATGTAATAAAGTCAATTACTAATTATTTTTAAGTTATTAATTTTTTTTGTTTTTTAAACTTTTGGAATTAAATTGTTATATTTTTAATTTTTGATAATTGGTCTTATAAATATTTTTTTTATTTTAATAGAGAGTTAACAAATTTTGTTAATGGATAAAAAATTAATTAATAGAAGTTAACTTGTGCTATAGATCTCGGGGCAAGTCTAATCCAAATAATTTTCTATTGTATTGCTTTAATTAGTGACGAAGGAAAAATGCTCAAGTCTAGATGTTAGACAGTTTTGTGAAAATTAATAAACAAAAAGTTATTTTAATTTGTGTCTTAAGGGTTATTTTAATTTGCGTTTTAAGGATTATTTTAATTTGTGTCTTTAGAGTATCGGTTAAAAATTTTAAAAAAATAAAAAGTAATATTTAATTTATCAATTGTCTAATTAAATTTATTTACGTAACAATAACACTAAAATTAATATTTACTTTTATATTTTTTTATACAAATTTATTATAAAAAAGTATCATTAATATGTATTCTTAAAAAAATTCATAAACAAAAGTTGAATATTTGACCCGTTAAGCAATTAACGGTCAAAGTTAATAGCAAAATGGATGGCATCCAATTAAGGATGACATTGAATAAAAAAAGGATAGTAGAGGGATGACATTTATGGTGTAAGAAAAGTAGAGGGATGGTAATGAATATTTTCACAAAGTATGGGGACTATAGTTGGCTTTAACCCTTGTTCTTATTGTCAAGCCAAGACTCCAAGTTCATGATTGAAGAACAAAAATATAATCCCCTGTATTTTATTTTCTGCCAGCGGAAAATTCAGAATTGTTTCCAAGTCCATTTTAGATGTTACTCCTACTGTCCTGCATAAAAAAAAATAACGTTGAGTTCAAATCTTGAAATAAGTTGGGAGGAATTTGAAAAGAAAAAGATTATTTTTTATTTTATTGCTTGTCATTTAATTTATATAAAAAAAAAAGAGAAATAGGTAAAGAAGGAA